CACAAGGGGACACGGCCCGGGGGCTGGGGAGGGAGCGCAGCGTCTGCCCCGCGCAGGCCCTGAGCACGCCGCTCGGAGCGGAGGATGCTGGCAAGCCCGGGCGTGCAGCGCTCCTGCCTCGCCCTGCTGCTGACGGAGCCCCCAGCGCCAGGGATGGCGACGGCCCCGGCCTCAGGGACCCCGGGGGACACCGAGGCACGGGCAAGGCCCGAGAGCAGGGCAAAGCGAAGCCCAGTCAAGACATTGATTTTATTCTTAAAAATAAAAAAGCAAAAATAAAACCAAAAAAACAGCCAAACCAAAATGGACAGAACTTCCCCAAAACGGCTTCCTACCTCATAATTTCACAGAAATTAGCTTGGAAACGTCACTTGCCTCTCCCCGCTCCCACCTGGGCCTCGGGCTCTGCCCTTTCCCACCCCATCCCGGTACTATGGGGCACGGCCGGGGTGCAGCGGGGGGCGCAGGGCTCTGCCCCTGTCCGCCCGCGGCCGCAGCGAAAGCGGAGCCCCACGGTGGGCAGGGCCCGTGGAGCGGAGCGCCTGGAGGAGACGGAACCTGCCCCGAGCGCCCGTCTCCCACCTGCAGCTCCCGCACCCGGCACTTGCCCCCTGCTCCCGGGGCTCATGGCAGCGGGTCTCCTCCCGCCCCGGCGCTACTGAGTTAATAAATCTGTTGCTGACTACGAAATTAGACCCTTAGGAAAAAAATCCCGCCTTGCTTTTGCCCTCCCGCCACCCCTGTTTCCCCCCTCCCCTAAATAATCGTGGTCCGCTTAGAGATATCCCAGCAGTGGGTGCCCTTGGCTCCGGCCGCGTGGCGAGGGCACGAGGCGGCCGGCTCCGTGGCAGGAGCACCGACCGGCTGAGGTTGGAAGGGGCCTCTAGAGATGACCTGGTGCAGCCCCCCCGTCCTCCTGCGGTGAGCTGGAGGCCGCTAGTCCTTGAGGGCTTTCCTGCTGCGGGCGTTCCACATGCCACGCTTGGAGTGGTAGTAATGGTAGAAGTTCCTGAGGCGCAAGCGCTCCACCTCCAGGCCGCTCTGCAGGACCCTGCATGGGGCGGCACGGACCAGCGAGGGCTCAGCGAGAGCCCCCCAGCCCGTGCTAGCTCCTGCGGGATCGCGGCTCGCCGAGCTCCCTGGGATGCTGCCGTCTGGCTCGGGGATGGGGAAATGGCCCTGCTGCCACACGGGAACCCGCGTGTGAACATGTGTGTGGGGAGGCGACGGCTGCCGGTGTCCCCCCAGACTCACCTGTCCAGGAGCTCCCAGTCCTCCCCGCCCCAGCGGTCTCTGAACTCCTCTGTGTTCATCCCTCCGACGCGGTCGAAGTCCGACTTGTAGATGCCAAAGAGGCCGAAGCCGTTCACTTCCCAGTAGCCTAGAGGAGAGGCAAGAGCGGTGATCCGGCACGGCGCCCCGGCACCCCCGGAGCTCCCGGCGCTGCCAAGGTCTTGCCTGGAAAGCTGTGGCCACAGGAATGTGCTGTCCCAGCCACTGCTTCCAAGCATGGCCCTCAAGTCCCACGGCCTCCTCCCGCCCTGAGGTCCAGCTCTTGAGGACCTTGCACCCAGCAGGTCACAGCGCCTCAAGGCCCGTCCCGCCGGAGCGAGCAGAGTCGGCCTCCACCCTGGGCATATCCGCACGGAGCAGCGCCAGGATTCCGGCTCTCCTCCAGCCAGGTGGGAGGATATTCCAGAGCTCAAGGGCGGTGGGGGCCAACTCACCATTGGGCTCGCGGGGGGAGCTGCCGCAGCTCAGGCGCATGACGATGGGCGCGTAGGCCAGCTTGCCCTCCACGCAGTGCTTCCGGATGCTGTCCAGGATATTGGGAGGGAAGTGGATGTGCAGGTCACACAGGAACACGATGCTGTGCCCGTCCTGCGGGAGCGGGGCAGACACGAGGGCAGGTGTCATGAGCTGGCTCCACCCCAGGCACCGGGAGGGCAGCTCCGCGGGGCCACAGTCTCCTCCCGCCTCACCTCGACGGTGTCCACGCCGGCCTGCAGCCCGGCCGAGAGCTCGAAGTTCCCCGTGCGACGCAGGTACAGGGACCTGGGGAGGCACCGCAGAATGGTCAGTGCCGGCGCTGGACACACACATGTGAGGAAGAGGGAGCAGGAAGGAGCACAGATCTGCCTGGGAGCAGCACGGGGACATCTGGCTGACGTCCCCTTGCGTGGCTGGGAGTGGGTTAGGAATATGGCCAGGAGGTTTTGGGGAGCCTCCCGGGACGTGTTACCGGGGCAGTGGGGCCTCCTGCAGAGCCTTCTCTACATCCATGTCCTCGCTGTCGAAGTCCACGAGGATGACGTTGAAGTTGGCGTCCTTCGTGGCCCCGTAGAGGCCGGCCATGTCCGAGATGAACTGCTGCACCCAGCGCGCCTGGTTCTTCACTGCCGGCCACAGCCACAAACGCCGCTCAGGGCTCGGCCTCGCTGCTGCAGGGGCCCCAGCGCTCCCCCCGGCCCCGCCCAAGCAGTTGCCTCCCCCACGAGGCCGGGTAGCCGCAGCAGCGCTCGCGACCTGGCTGCCGACCCGAGACGCCTCCCTTGGCCACTTGACTGCCACCCGGGGCCCTGGCAGAGACGCTCTGCTCTGCTGCGGCCACACGACGTCCCTCTGCGAGCAGAGGCTGCGGCCTGCGAGCAAGGGGACGCCCGGCCTCCTGAGGTGGCCCGGGCCACGTGCACCCTGCTGCTGGCGGCCCCTTGGAGCAGCCCCGACGATGCAAAGCTGGCCGGAAGGAGGTTGCATCTCACGTACCGGGGACCACGAAGTGCACCATGACATCCTGCTTCCAGCTGAGGTGCAAGGGCTGGCACAGGATGGGCTTCCCGTAGAGGACACTCCAGGCACTCGGCTGGGGCTCAGTGGCGGCCAGCGCTGGCCCCTCGGGGTTGGCCTCAGCGCTGTCATCCTGCTTGCCCTGGTGCAAGAGGACATAGACGTACTCGGAGAGCCGCACCGTGCGCTGACCCCGCTCCGCCAGCTCCAGCTCCAGCAGGTAGCGGTTCCCCCGGGCCGTGTCCCGGCGTTTTTCCACGTTGATGATCCGCAGGAGAGTGTAGATGCTGCAGGGAAAGACAGCCACCCCCACCATCAGCAGCCCTTCCTCACAACTGGGCCTTGGGCCCCTCACTGGGGGCTTGGGCAGATCCCACCGTGCGGGGTGAGGACACGTTCCCAGTGCCCCCGCGCTCCCGTTCCTACCCGCCGTTCTTCTCGTTGAGCTTCTCCAGGTACTGTGCCACCACGTCCACCACCTCGCTCTCGCCCAGCTGCAGGTTGCCGGACACGTTGCAGCGCAGGTCGTTCCAGTCGGAGCGCAGCAGCTCGAAGTCCACTGAGCCGACGCTGAACGTCCTCTGCCAGTTGATGGAGTCCTCCAGCCAGCTCGGCGGCAGCTCCGCAGCCTCGTAGCTGTAGTCCGACACCTCCTCCTCCTCGTCCTCTTCCTCCTGGCCCTTTCCTGGGCCCTCTCGTCCCTCTTGCTGGGAGGCTGTTGTATCTGACATCTTCAGAAAGGACGTCACCCGCGTCCCACCCAACAGGGCTGTCTCCGAGGAGTTGTTCTCGGCGGTGGCCGCTGTCCTGCCCGGGCCGGCTGTCGCGTCCTCACGCGCCTCCCTGCTGAAGAGCCCGTCGGCTCTGGGCAGCAGGAGGCTGGGCAGTGCCCGCCGCTGCCCCCTCGGCTCTTCCCGCTTGTCCAGGCTCTCCCAAGCGCTCCGGCGCTTGGCAGTGCCCTTTTCCTTGGAGATGGTGCTCAGGAGCCAGGGCACTCGGCGGACCTTGCTGGAGGGGACGGGACGCCTCCGCGGGCTCCTGGAGCGAAGGTGCACCTTCCTCGGGGCCTTCGGATACAGGAAGATGCTGGGGAAGGCGGGTTCCTGAGCTGGGGCTTTGCTCTTTCCCGTCTGCAGCCGCGTCACGTAGACCTTCTCCTGCGCTGCCCTGGCCTTGCCGCCCCGCTGGGGCGCTGCCGGTGTGCTGGGCGCCACCGCTTGGGCCCTGCTCCCCCCG